CAGATCATTTTATGTAGTGGAATAAGAAGATAAATCATCTTTGGCAAAGGTGTTCACAATTACCGTCTCTCTTTCTAATTTTGGGGGCAGAACACAGGAGTATTGTACTTTGTGACAATTTAATGGCAGTGATCCCCTTTGCATGTGTGAAAAGAGGAGAAAAAATACTTCACAAAAAAATCTGATTTCATTTCCACGTTATTTTCCCAGAAAACTGCTGTAAACTCAAAAAACTTTGCTTCAAATGTGTACAAGTACATGCTTTTGGCCCAACAATTCCAACTTTAAAGAGTCCATTTCCTCATACATTTATCAGGCCCCACCTATAGCTATTTGGCTGAGTACAGAACAGTATGTCTAATAAGCACCATTGAGGTTCTCCTCCAACAAACCAGAATCATTCCACATCCACAATCCATTTCCTTTCATTCACTAATTTCACCTTTAAATATAATAGCTAATTAAAAGATAAGTACATGAAAATGTAGAAGACCTTGAGCCCATCCAGTGGTTGCATCAGACATCAATTTACTTCTGCTTTTGAGAATTATTTTAATAACTCCTTTTCATGAATAATAAGCCTTTTTTCATGAATAAATATAGAATTCAGCAAGGAAGTATGGATCTCTCAATTTAAAGACAAAAATCAGCAAGGTCCATCTCTGACAGAATGAAAAAGTTTGTTTTTTCATTTTCCTGGTAAAAATTTATCTTAAACTTCAGCAAGACTGTTGCACTGAACCAGACTGGCTTAGAGGTGGATAAACCATTTCAAAAGAATGTAAGAGAAAAACTGAAGCCTAGAGACTCCAGTCTCTAGAAGTTAATGAAAGTGTCTATAGTCCAATGGCATGTGGTTTTACCACGCTGTTACAGCCAGCAGAGAGTTTCACTCCCTGGGCTGTATCACAGTAATTTCTGAAGCATTCTCGGGCAATTTGTGAGGGTAACACTGCAGGATGTAGGCTTCAAATGTGCTGTAACACTCTGATTTCATTATCACAACAAAGAGTACAGAGAATCTTCTCCTTACAACCTGAGATTTCAGGCTGTTCAAAGACAGTAAATACCCCATGTCATATACAAAGTCACCATCTGAATGTAGCACATGAGCACTCAGATCCTTGATAGCCACATTTCCTATGATTTGATGCAAGGAAGCCATCAGCATTCCACAACTGAAAGAATTATGTAGGTGTCAGGGTGGTTAAACATGGACTATCAGGCAAATAATGGATTTTCCTTTAGGTATCTGGCATTTAGCATTATGGCATTTTTTTACCATAGCCACGAATCCCACTTGGACCCTGTTGCTCTTATTCCACACAGCATTAGAGATAAATCTGTCTTGTCACACATTGAAAGGAAGGGAAGAATGCAGCATGCTGCTAATTACTAGATGCACTCATTCACTTACCACACTATGAAAATAATTATTAAAAACCAAAAAAACAAGGTGCTTTTGGTTTCATAAAATTAGGGTCTTTGGGCCCAAGTCACCAGAAAGCTTTTAAAACAATGGGGAAACAGAAAACTAGGTCTGTATCGGAGCAGGGGTCACCTGCACTTTACATATGGTTGGAGCTTCAGGGTTGCAGCTGCTGTAACAACTCCATTTGAAAGCTGGCACCCTGCATCATGTGAAAGTTGGAGTACACTCCCCAAACCAGGACAGAAACAAGCCTCAAGAAGGCATCAGGAGATTGTAAACAAAAACAAGGCTTCTCCCCCATGCTACAGAACAGAAGTAAAAGGGATATGGCAAGGACCTTATTCGATGTGCCCACTTTATCCTCATGTACAAACATTAGAGCACAGACTAATTTATAACACATAATTTTAAGGGTTTATTCAGAAAGAGAGAATGAAGTATTTGAACAAAATATAACAGCTTTAAATTATGCCTCAGATGCCCACCGCATCAGCAGAGATTCTTGCAGTCTAATTGTCTCTTGAAGCAGCACAGTAACAGACGCAGAAGGAAACACTTGCAATCACAAGAGGAGAGAAAAAAAAAGTCTTCAGTACTGAAAGTAGTTTTTAAAAGACCGAAGAACAGGGAAGAAAAAAAAAATCAATAAAATTTCCACAGGAACTCATAAGAGGAACTCATCAGTAAATGCTCCTTCCACACAGTTCAAGGACCACTTGAAGCCTGCATTTTTTCTGCATGAAGCCTCTAAAACACATTTCAGTTGTGTCCACTCTACCAAAAATAATATATATGAATGTTTTCAGTCTGCATTAAGTGACCTTCTGTGAGGAAAACTTCAGCAGCCATATTCTATATCAGATGTTTAGAATTAACCAGAGACATTTAATGAAGATTTTGCCTACCTTCCTATTTACTGAAAGTCCATATTTAATATCAGTTATTACTCATATCACTTAAATGGCAGATAAAAGTCACAAGTTGGCAACTTTTAAAATTTATTGAGAAACCTCAGCTAATTTAGTGTAGAATAAAAACTGGGATTGCATTTGGGGGAAAGAAAGATTACGTGTGTTTTCCACTATATCTAAAGGTTGTAACATCATAAGCAAATTGTGGAGGCAGAGAAAAAAGTGAGATAAGACACAAAAAATATTCAAGCATATGATAGAATTAATGCTTTAAAAAAAGGCAAATCCTTCAAAATGAACATAAAGTGATGTTTTAAATTAAAAGATCCAATCAGAAGAACTAGGAGTTATTGGAGAACACTGTGCATCTTGAACAAATCACAGAGCTACATTATTTAGTATGTTGAAGAGAAGTTCCCTTTTATCTATTAAAAGAGAAAATCTTCACAGGTCTCCTCAGAAAAAAAATTAAAAATTAAAAATATTTAAACATTATCACTTAAAGTTAAGCCATATGGCATGATAAGAATATTTACTCAACCTTTATCTTCATCTGAGAGAAATGTGACAATTATAAAGGTCTAGATTTAGAAGAGTTTAGGTTTAGATTTAGAAGAATTTTGAAAGGTTTTTCTTCCCCACACATTCAATGATGACTCCAGAAAAACTTTTTATGTTTTACTTCATGTACATTAACTTCACCTTCCTTGAAGTCATCTGCACACATGACAGATTTATTACTTGTAATTGAGGGATCTTGAGATTTTTTCCAAGACTTCATAAAATAAATATTTTAAAACTCTTGCCTATGAACCAGTGATGAGCTTCATGCATTATTAACAGTACTATAAGAGCAGATACAATTTATGCTGATCCTACTCTCCTTGTTTATAAACTGTGAGTTTAGTTTCTTAAAAGAAGAAAAACAACAGCAACAAAACAATAAACACTGACAAACAAAACACCCCAACACTGACTATTTTTGAACTGCCAGTTCCTGTAGTGACTATAAAAATCTTACAAGCATTGTAAAAGGAAAGGAAAGGATGAAATCCAGATGACTTTTCTCAGGTGAGAACCACTATATGAAATAACAATCCCAGAATATTTATATTTGAAAAAAAATTTGGACAGAATTGCAGTATTTCATTTAGACTTCTTTAATCTAAAACAATGCTGGTTGAGAAATCTTCACCGTTTTTATGAGAGTGAAACAGTTACATATAGAATGGTCAAAAACCTATTAGTACCTGCATCCTAGAGAAGGCATATTGAAAACATAACACTGGCAGAGTGGATCATTAATTAAATACATGTAAGTGGAATTGGATGTAAATGTGCCAAATGAAAAATGCAATGTCATCAACATAAAGCTAATAATAAATCCTAGCTATGAACTGCCACATGTACAAAGGTCAAAGCTAAATCTGCATGTCATACTCATGAATGGATTCTCTGGTTTTAGTGTGACTTTCTTGAACTTCTTTCTATCTATTCTGGATCATACCTGTGATATTAACTACATACCCTTTGAAAAGTTCTAGCCATATAAACCAGGATGTTCAGATCAATACATAAAATCTCATGAAAAAAAATAAACTATTGTCTTAACTTCTAGAAGAAAAAGCAGATTTTACATCTTCCTCCTGCTTGCATCCCAAAATTGATATTATAAAATCAGTGTCAGCTCTTTCCTAATCCTCGAGTTGAGAAAAATGCAGATCCAATCTCAGGTGCAGCAACAACTTATCATTTTTCCTTCAGTCTTTCCCTTTTTCTCCTAAGATTCTCAGAGCTGGCCTACCTTTGCTGGACTTATAAATGATTTGTTAAGGAAAGGACAAACATGATGAGTTCCTCTTCTCTCTTGCACCAGACTTTCTGTGGCATAAATAAGCATCAGATGCGCCAAAGAAAGGAAGAACCAGTCTGTAATCTAACTAGCTCTTTACACACAAAATACATGGGATCCCATCTGCCCTGTGCACTTACTAGTTTGCTACTTTTTTCCCATAGATACAGGTGTCCATACAGCTACTGATTATTCTTCATTGATACAAGCAAAGTGAAATTTTTAGCAGGCTACAACAAGCCATCAGTATTACAAATTTTCTAGGAAAGTGGCATTAATCACAGTTCTTATAAAATGAGTAAGCCTTTAATACTGTTGGGTTAAATCAATTCACATCTAAAATACGTGTACAGTACCAGAAAAGAGAAATTAACTTTCCCTTCCAATATTCACAGAACAAAAATTACATATCCAGAAGTTTATTTAACTAATATGGACTGATTTGAGACTACCAATGCTCTTCCCACTGAACTGCAAAATGCTGAAAAGTCTTGGGTTAAATTTCATTCATCAGGACCTGAAGCCTACCATGAAAGAACACTGAGTTAAAAATAATAACAGAGGAATTCTAATTCTATTGAAATCAATGGTCCTCTTATTTTTCATGCAAATTTGAACAAGATAAAATTATATTCTGGAGCTTTTAATTTTTTATTTAATGAAATCATTTTGATTTAATAGACTTCAACTCAATAAAATCAGTACCTCTCTCCTTTAGTTAGAAACCTTATCAGCAGCCCAATGAAGCTAAAAGGCAGGAAGGCAGACAGCAATGCTGAAGATTTGATGATGGCTGTGTACATACCACCTTTCATCATCCCCACTTCGTAGCATTTTCTCAGTCGGCAGGCCTGGCAACTCTTCCTTCTGTTCTTGTCAATGGTGCACTGGTTAGTGGCAGGACACATGTAGTCATTGTGCCCTGTAAAACCAGAGGGAAAGTAAGGACGCAGCCATACACAGACATGACAAAAATCACTACAACATCTTGGGGGAAAAGGTAGGGTTTCCATCATAGCCTCTCATAAAAGTGTTGATACAGATTTGGAAACTAACATCTGTATGCCACACATTGATTTGCAAATTCTTTAAATTAAAACTTCTGTAGACTAATTAAAACAGTGAACAATTAAAGCAACCACAAAAGAGGATCTATTAATATGAACAAGTGCCTTGACTTCCTTGCTCCCAGGCCGAGAAATACAACACCATCTGGTTTTGTGTGCCTGTGCTGATGTTTAACCAATAGACTGCACAAAATGAGGTTTACAAAATTAAAAAGATTTTATCTGTGACAGTCAGTTCCAGTAAAGAAACAATCAACAACATAGAACAGAAGCAAAAATCCTCAAATAATTAATTGTACCTCAGGGATAAATCAGTCACTAATTCCAGCTGCATGTCTACTGCTTTGTGCAAAAACTTTCTGACATGACAAATTCTAAAATTACCACACGCTGAAACCAAGATTGTTACTGGTATCTTCTCCTTCAGAGCTCCTCTTCCTTATTTCTTACTCTCTTTAGCATTTGTTAGTGCCAAAAATCATCTATTCCAATTTGCTCTTAACAAAAGTGTGCTTAAATCTGCTATAAAACTATTTGCCAACCATTGACAAAAGTTAGCAAGGATGAAAAAGCCTCTTCAAAACTATCTCATTGGTGCTCTGTATTCATCTGAACATATCTAAGGTACAGACACATTTTAAAAAAAATGTTACTGCAGAACTGTTTGTTCTTTCTTTGAGGTCAAGGGATCAGCTTGAGGTAAAGTAGGGTGGAGGTTTCACAGAGGCCTTGGTCTCATCAAATCCTCTATCCTTGACTACAAATTAGAAAATAGAGTAAAAATTACTATCAGATTACACCAGGAGCATCTGCTCTCTAATGCTGCATAACTGGGATCTCATCAAAATAAGTAGCCAGTCTATAAACTTGTTACTAGGGGAACAGCTGACTATGCCCTGTCTCAAATAGACAGAAGTATTATTTTTTAGGTCTACTGGATAGAACAAAATAATACTGAAAAAGTCCGTATCCATATGCTTTGCTCCAGCACTGCAGTAAACAGGTACAACTGAACCACCATCTCAACTCAGCGTGAGAGAATGCTTTAATTTTCAGTTCCTCTGGTAGGATACAGACTGTTCTATATCTGGTTCAAAACCTTTCACATGGAAGGAAATAAAAAAAATCAAGTCAGAAAGAAAAGAGCTTCAACCACATATGCAGTATCTACAGAAAAAAGGAGCCAAAAAAAAACGGCCATATTTTTAAGAAAATGCACTTATGTTGAATCACACTAAGCAGCAGTGAACAAGTGTAGCACCTGACTTCGATCACCTGCCTTGTTCATTAGGCAACTTTGGAAATACCATGAGATAAAGATGGAAAATTTTAATTACTCTTTTTAAAAACAAATAAGTACTTCAAAAGAATAGCTCATCTTCTTCCTGATGAAGTTAAAAGGTGAATTCACATAGTGAATGAGTGCAGGCTTTGAAATCAGCAAATAATTCAGAAGATCATTTAGATCTCTAAAATGAGCAGATAAATCCCACTTAGGTCAAAGCTGAAATCATGCTAACCACCTTTGCTGGATTGGCTGATTTTTATAGTGTTCAAAGGTTAAAAAAAAAGTGACAGAAGTGACTGCATGCAAAAACCAAAAGTCAAGTGTAATCATATCATCAGGGCACCCATCCTATTTTTGCTATACTTATGTGGGTGATAACCTTCTCCTTGGCTATGAATCTGTATTTACTTGTGCAAACCACAAGTGTTTGGAAATAAACACTTGGCTTGTAGAATAGTATATAAAATAATCCTATTTGTAACAGAGCTACAGTTCCAACATTCATATAATAACATTTTCCTTTTGAAGAGTTTTATCATGAATTTACCATTTAAATGTTAGCATAATTAGTCTGTTTTCATGCACATGATCTGCACCTTAGACAATACACTGTTCACTCAAAGTGCTTGATTGACTTCACAGAATAAAGAATGAAAAATCTGGCTGCTAAAAAACAAAGATCTGTGTGTGATGGGCATACTTCTTTAGATTGCAAGTACTGTTGTTTAGCCTTTCTGATTTCCTGTAAATCTAGGGAAAAGATAATGCGTTTAATATTTATCATAATTTTTGGTTTATTTTAATCAACATGACTTCAAGAGATGGGAAAACATGCTGATCTGAGAGTGAAATTAGCAAAAGTTTCATACATGACAGCTGGGATAAAAAGGAAGGTAAGGAAAGCTAAATTGTAGACTTTATCAGCACCTTAAGGTGCCAAACAAGACTGAAAATGAAAAGCAAAACCTTGGGAAAAATTACACTAAAAAGGAAAAAAAAAAAAACCACTTGAACATTACATAGGCTTACCCAGTAAAAACAAATGTTGAATGTAAAATAAAAAGTAACATCAATTTTAAGTTAAAGTGCCCCAATAAAACTGCACTTATTGGTTTTAAAATCACACTTTTTCCTAACAGCTTCACAGAAGAACACAAGGTTATGTCTAAATGCTTTATAAGCACAGATACTCAAATTCACAGCCTAATTACTCTCAGAAAAGATCTCTGGATTTGGAATTTGTGTTCTCTTAGGAACTACTCAGCACTGCTGAGAAGAATAATCTTCTTTCTGGTTTTAAACAAGCAAAACATTAGTAACATGAGAGTAAGGAAAAGAGTCTAGAAGGCTGTAAAATATACTTCATTTCCATCCAGTGAGGAAGTCCTCTTTTTCTGCATACCTCAGAAGGAAAGATTATGAAATACCCTGAGTTAGCAGGGACCTGCAAGCATCACCAAATCCAGCTCCTGGCCCTGCCCAGGACAGTCCCAACAATCCACCATGTGCCTGAGAGCATTGACAGACATCAATCACAGAACCACTGATGAATGGGAGGGTAGGAGAGGTTAAAATTTATAGATGCTCCATGTTATGTCCTTCAGCCGTGTCATGGAGCTCACAGGCTGTGTTTGCCTTCCAGTGGAATCTTCTTGTCTTCACTTAGGTACAACTGCACCTGCCCACATGGGCAGGTAATTCCAGCCAAATGGCTAGTACCAAGCTCTTCTTAAACCTTTCCATATAGTAACAGGAAAAATGAAGGAAGGAGAATGTGCACTGCATGAGGGCACCAAGCCTGCTGCCATCTCACCAGTATAATAATGCATGAACTTATGTACTGAGAAAGAGTGATATAAATTTTAAAAGTCACTATTTAACTTTATAAATCTATAAATATTAAATTATATTTTCTACTCAAGCAAATAATTTTGAAGTTTTTATTATTGGCCTTATCTTAAAATTTAATTTGGTGTTTCATCTACTATTTCAGGATTGTGATACTATGTGCAAAGTTTACTTTTACCCTGATCCAATTTTTCTAATTTTAGACAACGTAACAAAACAGAAAGGCTATTTTTTCCTCATGACAAATAAAAATAGACAAAAATACTGATCCAATCTTACAAAATCTGGCAAGGGGTATGACATCAAGTTTCTGTTTCCCTAGCTGATAAATCACAATTGTTTTAAGTCCTTGGCACATGATTAAAACAACAGCTGTGTTAAAGGGAAAAACTCCCACAATGTATTACTCACAACCATCTCAATATGATCTCTCCAGAGACTAAAAGCATTTTCAGAGAGAGTTATAGGCATGTCATGGCCATCTTATTCCCATAGACTTTGAATGAAACTCTTGTATTTTTAGCTTCCCATTTTATTTGAGCCAGAATGGGAAGGAGTAGAATTCTCTTAAAGAAAACTCCCACAACTATTATAAAGAGCCTAAGAAGCTAAAAATATTGCAAATTACTCTCATGCACTCAAATGCAAATTTTATCAAAAAAATTAATGTAATTCTCTACTTTTATTCCAGCTATAACATCAGGGTTGGATCTTCAGTACCTGCATGGTTCCTGCTATGATACATTTTTCAAGGAGCTGTGTGGTGGTTTCTGAACAGAGTTTTCTGCACTGAAGTCTGTAAAACTAAAACCTCACTACAGGCAACAGCTGGTGTGCTAAATTATTATACTGCTCTTTGATATCAGTATTTTGACCAAAAAAAAAAAAAAGAGAGACTGTTTTCTGCCTGTGTACCACTTTTTCCTGCAAAGCACAACCCAGTTATATACTTCTTTAAATAACTTATATGTATCTGTGATCCTTGGCTTGCTCCCTCATACCCTATCATCCATGCTCTATAGTATGAAGTCACCCATTTTATAATCAGAAGGGCCAACCAAGGTATCTTAGTCTCTTGTCCTGCATATCTCTAGCCACATTTTAGAATGGGAGCAGCTGTGTTATCTGTCACACGCTCTAAAAGCAAGTGGAACAGTTTAGCACTTTCCTGTAAGACAAAAATTGCATGTTCTCTTGTAGTTTGTAAATGTAAAGTGCTTTTGTTTCTCAGGTGAATATTTTGAATTGCTGAAAGTCTCAGTCCTGAGCTAGAAGTAATGTGAGCTTTCAGATAAAATATTCACTAAATACTTGTAATAATGTTTATTAAACATGTAATAATGTTTAAATTTTTGTTTTGTTGCTTGATATTGCACAACAGTCATATTCCAGAGGAAGTAAAAAAACATTAAAGGTGATAATACAGGGTACATTAAGAACACCTTCTAAAAGCCAGGAATTCTATCTAGGAAGCAGGAAGAGCTCTGGATTTGGCAGAGGAAAAACAAATGACCATTTATAAAATCAGATAAGAGTCAGTTCTCTACTCTCTGGCAATGTGTGTTGCCCAACTTCACAAATGTTTTCAATATTGCCTACATTGGCACATCATATGTCAGCTAGGAATATATAGTTCAGATGACTTCAGAAAATCAGTGTCAGAGAAGAACTGTCAGAGTTCACTGTTACAATGGAAGCTGATACTGAATAAGGCTCCAT